CAGCACCACAAAATGGGAAAGAATGAAGGAAAGAAAGGAAGGGAGAGCGAGAGGGAGGGAGAAGGAGAGAAAAAGAAAAGCTGCCACGAAAACTACCCTGTCAGTAAAATTTTATATATGTAGCACAGCACTGCCAACTGCAGAGGCCATGCTGCACAATAGATCTCTAGGGCTTACTCATTTTATGTTACCAAAACTGTGTACCCTCTGACTACTACCTCCCTAATGCCCCCCTGACATGACTCCAAATGACATTACCAGAGCAAAATAAGTCGGACACCAAAAGAGAAAGATGCCATGATGCCATTTCTAAGAGGCACCTAATGGCGTCAAAGAGGAGGATGACTTTGCACCTCCTCCTACTCAGCCACTGACAGGAGAGAAGCCAGACTTCCAGCAGTTGTCCGGGGGCCACATGGAGAACTGAAATCCTGCCCTTTCTATTACCCACTCTACACCTCCTCCATGATCCTCCTGAGGCCAGTGGTGAAGGATGCTTCCAGAACAGCTGGATAAGCTCACAGGCAGGCAAACAATCAAACCTGCCCAACCGGTACACACATCTTCACCCTTGAACTTCCATTCCTTGTCCCTACCCTAGCAGAATATCTGTACAGCTGATTCCCAATGCATACTCATGTTCAGATTGTTTCACAATGAGTTCTTAGTTTCTTTAGTGGAATATTCCACCAAGCTCCAGGTCAGTATTTGCCACTTCTTTTTTTTTGGCGGGGGGGGGGGGCTTATAATCCCTTTAACTGTGAATATCTCAACTGAACACCATGGAATGTTTTTAATTACTTTTTCATTTATGAATTACAAAAAAGCTATTAGTGTGTGCATTACTTTAAGTGTATTTTACATACTGTTCCTTACACTTCTTTTTTAATGATATTAATTGTAATCAAAGAGTAGCTTTCCCATTTTCCCATTATATACGCTTCAAGAACAAATAGTTCATAGTGAAGTGTAGTGTTCAGTTAGGGAACTGAAAAGTACCAAAAATGTAGATCTGAGTTTCTTCACTAAGTGTCAATGTATGAAAAACTGCTTTTAAGATTTGGGGACTGAAATTTTTGAGCAGTGAGTTTCAAAAAAAAAATAGCTGTTTTGTTTTGTAATGTTTATGTTTCTATATGAAGAAATAAATGGTCAGCTTCCCAGCTGTGATTGACAAACATATTTCCACAAATACACCACCGCTGGGTTTAGATGCCTGGTCCTCTGAAGGAGCGAAGAGTCAAATCAGCTGTAATCACTACTGTGATTTTCCTCTGCATTTTGATATTTTAAAGAAGCGCAAACCGCTCATTGTTGCATGGATTTCCTGAATGAACAGGAGTAGACTGGGTGAAGATAGTCAGTTACTAGCTCGTTGGTAGACTTACCACATATTCTGTTTAAACCATTGATTGAATACAGATTTATATTGAATACTGTTTGCTAGAGAGAGCCCATCTTTCTCTCCACCCAGCAATCCACCCTTTCCTGCCCTATATCCCATTCTAAAAAGTTGACTTTTACTGATTGGCTTCAGTCGAATCCCTTGAGATCTGTTTTGCACTGGATTTAGGCATTCGAGATTGAAGGTAAATCGGGATATTTATGCACCCAGCTGAGAAGGCATCTCAGGCTGGTGGACCTTGTGCCCTCACAGCCTCCTGACTCCTCAGGACTAACTTTTCCAGTGCTCTCGCCAGTAGTAATCCCTGAGTTTTCAGTCTGTCTTGTGGTCCCCCTGCCCCACCCCACTCACACATTTTAGATACCCTATTGACTAAATTCTCAGCAAATTGCATGACTTGAGTGTGGATGCTTCATCTCTTTCCTAATCAACGGGCTCTTTCATAATACAGAACTATGAATGACAACATGTAAAAGTACATAATGGTTATAAACTTGGCAGGCTGGGGTTCAGCTCATGATAAAGGAACTATGCGATTGCATCAGGAGCTCTCTCCCGGGAGAGCCACTAACAACCACACATATGCAGCCAAATATACATTAAAGGCTCAAGAGAAAACCACTCCAAATGCTTACTGTATTGTAGAATTTAAAAAGTAGAAATTGAAATCAAACTCTGTTAACATTCCTTTAAAATCCCCAGAGTTTACAAACTATGACCAAACACACACACACACACACACACACACACACACACACACAGACACACACACACACAGACACACACACACACAGACACACACACACACAGACACACACACACACAGACACACACACACACAGACACACACACACACAGACACACACACACACAGACACACACACACACAGACACACACACACACAGACACACACACACACAGACACACACACACACAGACACACACACACACAGACACACACACACACAGACACACACACACACAGACACACACACACACAGACACACACACACACAGACACACACACACACAGACACACACACACACAGACACACACACACACAGACACACACACACACAGACACACACACACACAGACACACACACACACAGACACACACACACACAGACACACACACACACAGACACACACACACACAGACACACACACACACAGACACACACACACACAGACACACACACACACAGACACACACACACACAGACACACACACACACAGACACACACACACACAGACACACACACACACAGACACACACACACACAGACACACACACACACAGACACACACACACACACACACACACACACACACACACACAGAGGATTTCCTAAGTGAAGTAGCTATTTTTTATCTTATCTCAATGAGTACATTATGGAACAATGTGGGGGGGGGCTGGGTAGAACTAGAAGTATAAGAACGGGCAGTTCAACTAATGGAAGCTACACAAAGCACCAGAACTTGAAGTGGATGTCCAGTCCCTTGTTCTGTAAACAGAAATAAAGCCATTAGCCTTCCTCCAGTCCAGGGCAGAAGCCGAGATCCCGAGGAAGGTTGTTTATTATCCAGCAAGGAGAAAGATGTCTAAAACCATCCATCTCATAACTGCTTGAGTCTAAGGATTTATGGGCAAAGGGACTATAAACACAAGAGATAAACGTTTAACGATACTGCTTTATGGGAACACTGTGTGACTAGCCAGGACATATCCAGTGATAACCATGGTGTTCTGCAAATTGAGAGTACTTGAGGATGCTGCCTAAGAGCATTGGCCAGGGAAGAAGCCAGGGCAGATATCACTGGGTACAGGGAGTTCAAAACATCCAAGCTAGTTGACTAAGCCACAATAAAAGGAGGTCACAAAAGGGAGTGCAGTGTGATTCTGGGGATATTCCTCATAAAGGATATTGTGTTTTTGGACTTTCATTTAATGAAATTCCTCCAACTCCACTATAACTTGAATCTCTGAAGTGGTGTCAGGCCCTGGGCTCTCCAGGATGATGTTTTTCCAAAGAGACATACCTATTCATCAAGGGCTTTTCCTACAGTCACATTCCTGACTCCAAAACTAGCTACATCTGATTGTCATGACAGTCTCTTCGCTCTTCTCTTTCATATTCATACATCCTCTCTCTCTTTCTAACTCTGGATCTCACTCTTGCTCTGTTGCTCTACCCTCTCCATGTAAAGTAAAAGAAACTCCACAAGCCCTAAGGTTACGCTACAAAGGAAGAGGTAGCTACACAGACCCAGTGTAGGGAAATCATACGAGACCAGAAGATTGGCCGCCTTCTCCCACGTAAGGTTCCAATTTCAATCTTTCCACACCCTCCTTCCTCATGTTCTTTTCACCTCACTTTCTGCCTTAAGTCAACAGTCTCTCCTCTTCACAGACCAAAGGAAAACCAACTGAGAGCCAGATGATTGATCAAGACAAGATAATACTAGTTACAATGGAAGGACGTGCCCTAGATCATCCAGAAAAGAACTTGGTAACCGACGACTACAGCTTGCTATGGTCTTCCCGGACAGAGGAGTAACAGCCAAAATCAATGCAACTTTTTCCATGTGTTCCCGACCCTCCAAACCCAGCCCCAGATGGCCAATGCTTCTTTTACACTGCTAGCGTAAAAAATGCTATGCTGATCAACTCAATCTGATGCTTGACCCAAAACAGTTATGTGGATAAGTAAATAAATTAACAACGAATTGATGAAGAATATATTCTCTGAAATTATGTTGTTCTCTGCAAAATCAGAACTCCCCTTTACTGATACCCACTGGCTTCTTACTGACAGCATTCAAAAGCATCCTCGCAGTGTGTTACACTTATATCTTCCTGACAGATTATGGCATCTGTAAAATCAACCTTTATACATTGTAAAAAAGCATATAATGTAGACTATATGGTATTTAATGGTCTATAGTCACAACACTGCCACTGTTGCCTTGCCTCCCTTTTCCGAGTGCCACTGTAACCTGAGGGACATACATCACCACCACTGACAAAGGTGTTTTTTTTTTTTTCTTTTTTTAAACCTGTACAGTGTCCTAAGAGAGCAACGTGTTTCTAGTTTATGACCAGGTGGTGTTCAAACAGTTCCCTATAGCATTAGGTGTCATGATACACACACTCACAATTGTGTGCCAGGGAAATATTAGTGCTCAACCATCCTCTTTTATTTTATTTTTATTTTTTGCTATTACTGATCAAATGCATAGGGTGGGCCAGTAATCTTCATGAGGAACTTTTAATATAATAGGAAAATGAGTGCTTTCAAAAGTCAACAATTCATTGTACCAATGTAGCCATCTTTCTTAAAAAAAAACAAACAAACAAACAAACAAAAAAACCTGTTGATTCTTCTTACTTAGCGAGCATCTCTGTTTGTGGTGAGTTCTAGAACAACTGAAATACCTCTTCCAACAAGAGGACCTGGAGAAACAAAGCCTTTCAGAAAAGAACACAAAAGCATGGAACATCACGTTTGGGGACAGGACTTGTCTACCTCGGGTGCTTGCAAAGGCCTGAGGAGCCAGCTGCAGAGGCCATGGGTGGCTTGGTCCTTACCTTACCACACTGCTTACATTTTCCCTCCTGCCGCCGTCTGTGTACCCAGTGATGACGCACAAAGTTCTGTAGGAAAACGAAGTTAAATGAGTACGTTTTTATTTTGCAATCCTCAGTGAACATTGGTTGATGTTTGGACTGGAGATTTACATAAACCATAATCCAAGACCATGAAATCACAAAAAACGAATATGTATAGGTATGAATTGTTTGACAATAAACATATACTCAGAAAATAAAATGAAGCTCATTCTCTACCCCCAGTGATAGTCCACGCTGTGGGTTCTACTTATTATCCCTTCAGTCCTTGTCTCTAGTGCAAAGGCCACAGCGGCCTGCTCTCATTCCATTTCTTGGTAGTAAAAACCATACAGATTTGTGAGCAGGCTACCCTCAGCTGGGAGGTAAGTGACACTCACAAAAGAAATACCCAAAGAGTGATGAAAGGGTAAAGGAAAGAAACTTGCACAATAATATTCAATTCAATAGAATAGATTTGTCCAATACTTTACATGGTAGGCACAAGATATTAGTAAACCTAGCTGCAAGGAACTTACAGAAATCAGTTTCTCAGGAACAAATACATCTCCTGATAAGGGACAGTGACTTGAGAAATTGTCACTAAAATGAAAAAAAACATCAAAGACAAGGTGTGGACAGACAGGTGATGGTTTCACAATGATGGTTGGTCACCTTGAACTAGACTAGCTTTCAAAGCCTATTCTTGTCTTAAACTATAGGAAACACAGAAAGTCTTTCATGTGTCCCAAGCAGATAACAACCCCTGGATGTGGGGTATCCCTGGGGTAGAGTCTAGCAACCTCCATATCCTCTAGTTCTTAGAACATTACAAGAGAATGCTATTCTCAGTACTAAAGATGATAATCCCTAGTTCAACTCATCCCTCATAGACCAAGAGACCTATGGAGCTTCCTTCCCTGTCACTCTTACCCTTTCCTGGGAAAATACAATTTACCTGATATTAGCATGCCTCCTTCTAGAATATAGACATGATCTCTATTTTCCTTGTAACAAGACCCTTAATATATGTCACCAACAAACTGCCTGTATGTATGCATAGGCAATTTGTACAATATATAGGCAATTTTTTGTGTGTATATGTATATATAAATACAAATTTGCATACAATTTTACTCACACGTACACATGCACACACATACTCAAATGTATATGGCATATATATGGCACAGTTCTAAGCAGAGACAGGTTTTGAAAGCAGATCAGTCTATGACTATAGGACCCTGAACATGCCTGATCTCAGAAGCTAAACAGGGTTAGGACCTGGATAGGAGAAAACAGGTCACTGTGGCTGAAAGAAGAAATGTTATATGAAAGCATGAAATTTGGGGTGACAAGAAGACCTTGAACAAACATTAGCATTTTAATACCAAAATATAGCCTCTATTTCTCCTGATAACGTCAAATCAACCTGAAGAAGAACAAAGTGAAATCCTGGGAGGGATACCGGCCATTTGATGACAGTAAGATACAAAGGAGCATAATGATTCCATGAATCCATGTCATTTTCATCTTGTTTTTCCCACTGCCACCATTTAATAAAACAAAAACACAACCTTATATTGTTCTCAGAATCTAATAAGAATAGCTAGCCCTCACTCAGTACACAACACTTTTAATAATATTTTACATGGAGCAGTTCTTATAAACTTTTTAAAAATTTTTATTTATTTTTATTTTATGTGTATGCATGTATTGCCTACATGTAGGGAAGTGCACCCATGTTGTGCAATGCCTGCAGACGTCAGAAGAAGCTGTCGGATCCCCTGGGACTGGAGTTATGGACAGTTGTTAGCTGCCATGTGGGTGCTGGGATTCGAACCTGGGTCTTCTGCGAGAACAACCAGTGTTCTTAACCGCTGAGCCATCTTTCCAGAGCAGTTCCTTTAATCTTTGTGAGAATACTAGTGAACAGAGATGCTGCTCAGTAGGCATGTACCAAGGAAGAGCCTGGAGTGGTTAAAATACCGAAATACCTGTTTTGCCCCTGCCACCTGCCATCCCCTTGCCTGCTCGCTTGCTGTTACACCCTCAACCCTGAAACCATGTTTACTTTCTCTGTTTTTTTTTTTTTTTTTTTTTTTTTTTTTTTTTTTGGCTTTTTGAGACAGGGTCTCCCTGTAGCCCCAGCTGTCCTGGAACTCACTATGTAGACCAGGCTGGCCTTGAACTCACAGAGATCCTCCTGCCTCTGCCTGGAGTGCTGGGATTAAAGGCGTGCACCACCACGCCCGGCATACTTTCTCATTTTTAAGCAATTAAAGTGCAAATGCATGACTTCTCTAGTCACAGGAATCTTCTTTCAATAATCTCTCTTATGAAAGCAAATCAGGTGGCCTAAGAAAAAACCACTGGGTCTACCCCCAAGAACTTCAGAGGACTAGGCTGGGCCCAGCTGAGGGGAGATGTCTGTACGAAAGTCAATATTCATATGGACAATTCTGGGTTCCATGGCTGGCTGTGGCTTGCAAGACAGTGGCAGCAGCTGCAAGAACATGTCAAGTTATCAGTGGTCACCACGTCAGCTAAGTGCAAAACCTGTCCTGACCGGAGATGGATGTCCTGGACCATCCACCTGCTCACTTGGCAGGTGAGGCTGTTGCAGAGCCCTCAGCTTTTGCTAGAGATAATTTAAGTTTATGAAAAAAAGGTCAAGGACTAGAGCCTCTATCAACTGTAGTAGAGCCTACATCACAGGACTGTAGGGCACCTCCTCAGAGGGTCTGAGTTTAGTTAGCTCTGTCATCTTCCTTTTGCAGATGAAGAAAATGAAGTGTAGAGGTCACTTCAAATGTACAAGTGATAGCAAAGATTCCAGCTCTAACTGACTGGCACCAGACTGTCTGCTTCTTCTGATGAAGGTTTAGATTCACTGCTTCCACATGACACACCAACAAATACTGTCAATGACAGAAGTGCAAATATTGAATATATTTAAAATGTCAAGATGATAATTAAAAAGCACAGAAAAGTTTAATATAATTTTTGTGAGTTTAGCAAAAACATAAAGAGAATGAACACTATCATTGATGCTAAAAGAAATTCTGTACTTGTTGAGATTATAAATCACTCAGTGACTATCAATTTAAGAAGGGAAATGTTAGGAGAATTGGATGTAATTATCTATGAGAAATCATGGCTGACTCATGGGATCATTTAGCTAGTGACAGCTCCACTCAAAAGATTCAAGCAATAATTTTCTCAAATCAACAATTATTTAGAAATTAGATGGCTGACTTGATCATTTATACTGCAACATATTAGCATTTGTCAAGCAGATTTATACTATCACAAAGTTCAGTTAACTTATGAAATAAAACTTTAAACTTTTAAAAAAGTATTGTGACTATCTACCATTAGACATAGTTAAGATTATCTTTCTTAGAGCTGCAGAGATGGCTCAGCAGTTAAAAGCACTGGGTGCTCTTGCACAGGACCCAGGTTTAGTTCCCAACACCTACACTGTGGCTAAGAACAGTCTGAAACTCCAATTCCTCGGTATTCAGCACTCTCTTCAGGGCTCAGTAGGCATTGCATGTACATGGTACACATATCCATATAGGCAAACTCAAACACAGAAAATAAAAAATGAATAAATAAAAGATTATCCTTCCTAAAAAAATAAGCAGGAAATTGAGGATGAAGGCACAGGTAAAGTAAATACAAAATTAATATTATAGAAGAAAGTAAGAAACCTCCTCCACTCTGTAGCTGTATGATTTAAGGTATCAAGCAGCCTTCTATTCAGAGTTCTTCTTGGGCCTAATGCAAATTTTTTCTCATGCTTAAACATAGTTTGAACTAAATAAATATCCAATAAATAGTTGTTGAATCGAGTTGAAATCTGAACCTTATTTATTTGACCATTAAACCCTGTGGTTGCCATTTGGGGAGGGAGAATTCGTCAATAAGGGGGGAAAAAAAAAAACCCAAATTGCTGTTGTTTTCAAACCCTTGTTTCCTAAGCATACTCATTTTCACACCATTTGCTTTTGATTTTTTGTTCATGTCTCCTAATGATTGGACTTTTAATCAGATACTTCACACTTTTTTCTTCAGATGATTATTGATAGCTCCTAAATTGTTGGACTGAAATTAGATTTTTCACACTGTGTTCTTTTGACCATAAGTCATAGCTCTCCAATTGTTGAACAGGTGTTAGATTTGAGACCCTTACACTGCAAATGTGAATGCTGATATGCTATTGTTAAAATGGCCAACCAAGGCTTCTAAAGAATAACATCCTTTTACTGTCCATCACAGTTTCTGAATTATTCATATACCACTTCAAGTGCTGGGCAAGGAAAAGGCTATTATTTATGAGTAAAATATCAGTGATACTGGGCTGAAGAGATGGCTCAGTGGTTAAGAGCACCAACTGCTCTTGCAGAGGATCCTGGTTCAATTCCCAGCACCCACATGGCAGCTAACTCCAGTTCCAGGGGATTCCATACTTTCTTCTGACTCCATGGGCATTGCATGACGTAGGTACACTTACATACATGCAGGCAATACACTTATACACATAAAACAATAAGTAAAATATTAAAACTATCAATGACACATTATTTCAAGACATATTCTGTATTGGTAACAGAAATATAAACTATAATTGTTCAGTTATTTTCAAACAGCCAATTCAATTCAAAATATTCATCAAATGGTGAAAAGATCTTAGAAATCATAGGTCAATCCATACAGATTGTGACTAAGGAAACAGTTCCTAAAGACGCAACCTAGAAGGACTACAACAAAAAATACTCACTAAGAAATGGCCATGCGTCAGGCAGGCCCTATACAAAGGTAGGGCTCAGTGATCAACATTCCCAGTTCTTTAGACTCTGACCACCTAGTAGAAAAAAAAGTGCAGGTGGAATTTGAACCCAGGTCAAACTAATTCTAGCAGGAGTATTCTTCCATTTACATCGAGTACCTACTTAGAATCCCTTAATTAAGAAACTCAAGTGAATCATAGTTGCAAGGTTCATCTTCAGAATGTGCTCATAGACCAAGAGTTCTGATTCATTCTGGAAGAAATGGACCTGCCTATAAATACACCCAGGCAGCAGATATTCATTGATCATATACTCTGTCCTGGCACAATCAGTTTGGGACAAAGTCCTTGAATAATCCCCATGGTTTGCACTAATGGAGATAAACACTGTCAGACAAGGCAACAGTAGTATACATAAATAACCGTGACAAACAAAATGACCTGAATGGATATCACAAGGTGTTGCAGCAAAAATGGATGAGCTCCCTCTTCATAGGGGTCTTCAGTGAAAAGTTATGCAATGGACTTATGAGTTACTGATGAGTTTAGATTTTCAACTGTTGAAATTCTAAACCACAGAATGATGACCTTAGGAGATGAGACGTTCAAGAGGTAATTAGGTCAGGAGAATGGAGCCCTTACCAAAGAGATTAATGTCTGATCAAGGGGACCCAGAAGAAATCTCTTACCATTTTTCCTCCATATATGAATGCATTAGTCCATGAAATGCAAGAGAGCCCTCACCAACCACGCCATACTGGCACACTGATCTTGTAATTCCCAGCCTCTAGACCAGTGAAAAACAGTTTCTTTGTTGATAACCAACCAGCCTGGGGCATCTGGTTATAGCAACCAGGAGTGGCTAAATAAATCCCTAAGGAGATGATATTTCAGCTGAAAACCATAAGCAGCAGCTGGTCATGCAAAGAGGTCATCAATATAGCAATGAGATATGCAAATATTCAAAGGTGGGGAGTGCCTTGTGACTTGTGACATGCCTTGGATATTTAAAGTCCTTTCAGGAGCTGGATGGGACTGGGACATAGGCAGGGCCAGACTACAAAGGTCCTTGTGCCCTAAGTACTATGAAAACCATTGGAAAGTGGCATGATCTGATTTTTATTTTAAAAAGATCACTCCCTTAAATCATGATGAGGTTGGAGGAAGAAACTGGCAAATCTTGGGGAAACTGCTTTAGCCATACCTTAGTACAACGGCAGCAGACACGTTGATGGCAAATGGATGGACTTGAAATGCAGTTACGAATAAAATTCATTGAACCAGCAAATGAATTCAAGGTGGAGAGCACAAGAATCAATGTGACCCTCCCCAGTTTTTGCAAATGAACAGCTCATTTTATGAGGTGAAAACAAATTTGTGGGGGGGAGTTTTATGGTGATGAAAATCATTCTGTTCTTGGTGTGTTAGAGATGATATGATACACTAAAACAGATACGTCGAGTGGTATTCCAAGAAGCATAAGCTGGAAATGGAAAGTCAGGAGTTGTCAGCTCTCCTAACAGCAGCGGGCAGAGGCCAGAAAACACAGACAAAGGCTAAGCCCAAGGGCTATGAGGAGATGCAGGGGTTGTGGGGAGGGAGCATTCAAAGAACAGGAAGAGATGGGCAATGAAAAAGAAAATGGTGAGGGGCGGAAAGAGCGATGCTGCCAGTCAAGAGAGGGGACGCGCGGGAAGAATGGGATACATCAATGTTTTCAGTATTTTTGAGAGATTCAGTAAGAGCAGAAAAACGCCTAATGGATTTGCTATGAAGGAGATCATTGGCGACACTGACAAACAAAATTTCAGTAAATGGACTGAAGAGGTACCAGATTGGAAGAGGTTAATGTGACTTTAAGATGATATATTAAAAAATGAGCCATACAGATAACTGAGAATCAGACCAGCAGCTAAAACACAGCTGGTGGCTAGGGAATGCTTTTGTTTTCCTTTTTCCTTTTTTAGTTGGAAACTATTACAGCTTTTCACGGATGGAAACAGGCTAGACAGGGAATGTGGGGTTGAAAGGCCAGAAAGGGAGAGAGAGAAAGTCTTGACAAGGAAAACTTCATGGAAGGTCAGAGAAAGGACACAATACAACCAATGAAGATATTTTCAAGACTTGCATTAGAAACATTCTACACACAATTTCAGAGATGAGACAGAGAGAGAGAGAGAGAGAGAGAGAGAGAGAGAGAGAGAATGAGAGAATAATAAGAAACCAAAGACAGACATGGATATCTTGCAGTATTTCCAGCTTAAGAACACAAAACTATCCTTTCTCTTCTCCTAAAGAAAACATCTCCTTCACCGGAGCTATTGGTGATCAGATCCAGCTGAGTGATCTTCAGCCAGTGCCACAGTGCTCCGCTGAAGACACAACACAACCATTTTCCTCACACTTCCCTCAGCCATTGCAGCCATATTGGACATCAGTAGGAGCAGACTACTATGGGAGGATGAACTCTTCCTCTCCCCACAACCTCTACCTCCAATCTACTCGCTCTGTTTTCCCTCAATTCTCTGTATTCCTCTAAAACAAAGACACCACCTCATCTTGGCCTCTACAATGTCTTCCTGAACTCTCTTTTGAATGTGCCAACTTTTCTGTACTCGAGGAACTTCTCTTCTTGTTCTACACATTCATCCAGTCTCACAGAATTAATTGCTATGTCCACATGATGACCATTCACAAACATCTTACATTTCGACCATTCTTCCTTATAGTTTACAAAATCAGTTACCCACACGGATGTCTCCTGGGTAAGTCCACTTGGGGGTAATAGAGACATCTAAACACCTGATGGTTCTACAACTAAACTCATCACCTCCCAAACTCTTCCTCAAATCAACTCTAGCCTATCATCCTTTTCCAAAATCTAATCTGTTTTGCTCAGTTGAAGCTTGCTTTAGTGTAAGAACTAAAAACTCATTCAATTACTAAACTTTGCCAATTTGTTTCCTTTCAAGTAACCTCACCATGCTATGTTCTCACAGCTCAGATACAATTTTTTTTTTTTTTTCTGGGACTATGGGCAGAACTGCTCACATTGTTTCTATACTCCTGACAGTACCAGCCCTTAACTAGTAGTGTGCCCTCCACACCAGGGTCACTATAATATATTCTAGTTAAAATAATATACGGCCCTGCCCCCAGCTCCCTGATGGCTTCGAGGCAGGCTTCCAAGGATGGCCATGGTCTAGTTCTTATTTACCTCCCAGGTCACAAGGCTTACTCAGTAAGATCTCTCACCTGTACTTGGGTGGTGATGTGCTTTCTGTCTAGAAGGCTGTCACCTTGTAGCTGCACACTTTACCCCCTACCCTAGACATCGTCTGAAGGAATTGCTCAGTGTCCATCTCTTCCAGGAAGCCCTTTCTGTGATCCATTTCCTCTCCCTCATCACTACACAGAGCTGATTTGCAGGGCACACTAGCTGGGAAATTTTCCCAGGGGTAAATCTCTCAGTGGAGCTGAAACACATCTCACTGGGAAAATGAATGAAGTGGAGGGAGTACACTAACCAAGAATTCTTATATCCCAGGCATTCTCTTCAGATGCCAGTGCTTGGGAAACAACGGACAGCACCTGAGCATGCTAAACCACATTCTAAGGAGGATGGGTTCTGCAACTTGAAAGCTTTTGTTTTGCAAACTGGAGAGCACAGTTTGGGGGCTGGAGCTAGACTGTCTAGAATAATACAGGAGGGACAAAAATCCTTCTCACTTTCTCCAACTTTACTCTACTCTGTGCTGTGTCTCCTCTACAAAAGGCTGAAAAGCAAGCCTGTGGACACGCTGTCTCCTCCCCTCACATCCCCACTATGGTAGGAACTGCTCCCCATTCCAGTTTCTCAGCCACCTGTCTATCTTCACAACCAGATTCTAAGGTCATGTTCTCAGCATCAAACATAATTTTCTCTTATGATTGGTTTATTTATTGACTTCACAGATGAAAACACTGCAGTTGAAAGAGATTAGGTGAAGGGCCCAGGGTCACACAGCATGAAGGCTGGCTTTGAAAGCAGAGTCCAACTCCATCCTAGACATTGATAATAAGTAACTATGCTACACCTCACCCCCGCCCAAGATAGCTTAGACCCACTCAAGAAGAGACTATGGAATTAAAATTGGTCAAAAGACAGCAGGAGGATGTTGTTTTCTTCCCCCTTTCCATTCTGCCCCTCCCTATCCCCACCTACTCCCACCCTAGCTTCATTGTGTCATTCAGTAAGACTTGGACTCCCCAACATCTTCTACTGGCAGAATCAAGTGCAGTGGGTATGTGATCAAGAGCCCTAGAGATTTTGTTGATTGGACTTATTGATGTATTCACCAGAAATTGCTGTTTCACGAAGGGAAACAGAACTTATTTGTCAAACCTGGGTGAATGTCTAGGACTTCATTGAACCCTTGAGAATCCAAGGTAGTTTCTTAAACAACCCCAAAGACTCACTTCTCTTGGTGATCTTGAGCCTCCTTCTCGAAATGTTGGCTTACATCTGAAATTAATCTGTCATTTGAAAAGAAAACTATATTATATTAGTGATAAGCATTCTGTTGAGCTGAATTACTTGAAAAATAGTAACAGATATTGAGACTGTAAAACAAAAACTCCAAAGAATAAGGACTCTAGTTTAGTTGACTCCTAGTGTTTTTGAAAATATCTCGTTAATCTACAGTGATGTCTCGTGAATTTTACATCTCCAGCCTGTGTCCCTTTACTCTTATTGATGAAACATATCTTTAAAGAAAAAAAATGTTTTTAAGCTGTACATTTGAGAAACTGAGGTAAGAGTCAAGGGTAAAACACATAGCAGCTGAAACCATCTACTTGAGTTAAATTTTAAAGAGCAGTAAATATAAACCTGAAAAATTCTAACTGCTGTGATGACTATTCAAACGCATTCAGAAGTATTCTGTACAGAAGGGCTCTGAACTGCCTTGCTTTTGAATGAGAAGGCTCTGGGTTGTTCTGTTGTTTTGTTTTTTGTTTTTTTTCTGCTGCTGGATGAAGTGAAATAGACTTAGGATGAGAAATAATATAATATATTCAAAATGTTAGTAGTCATTACAAAATATAAGTCGACAGCAGTTGGCGACAATGATGAAACAAAGCAAATGTTGCATGAGGCTAAAATACTTCACTGGCTTTACACATCGCAGCTCAGGATACAGGCACTGCACAAAGACTGTCATCTGGAAATGCAGTACGACTTAGGAATGAGAGAGGGAGGCAATCTGGGGATTTTCCTTGCCCCAGATGGTAAATAAATAGACTATTCAGAAGTCAGTTCTGGAGGTAAGACACCCTTGGGATGTCACTTCCCGCTCAGTCACACATTTATGCTGTGCAAGCGAAAATACTGCCCTGAGGCCCAAAGCAGAGACCGACCGAGCTGCTTTCAGCTGGTTTCGGCCGGTTTGGTTGTCTCCCTTGAAGCTACCAGGGGAAGACGTGAACTCACAGAGAGAAATATATGAAAACTACGTTAAAATGCTGGTGGCAATTTTTTTTCCCTCACAGGAAACATCTTGTGGGAGACCAGAGATAATACTGAAAGAATTAGTGCACACCTGGCTTCCCAAAAGTAAACAAAGCAAATATCAAATAAACTTCACTGAACTGACTGAGTGACCCTTACGCATTTTCTTTTATCACTAATCTGGTAGTTATTTTTGACTCACAGCTGTAGCAGTTTTTAAAGGGCATTGTTTGCAAAAAGTTAAAGCAGACACCTAATCTTTGCAAATATTTGTAATGAAGACACCGGGCAGCAGGTGGCACCCTCTTACCTTTTCTAGTTGCTCAATGCAGGCTGTGTGGACCACTATTTTGCAGACTGCGCACTTCCTCCTGAGAGCAGATTTCTACAACATTCAATTCAAAATACAGGAAAGAAATGTTAATGGTCTGTTCTGAAGCTTCCACGGTATGAAGGTGGGAATAAATAAAGCAAGCAAAACTGCAATTATTTCTATTACTAAGCAAATTGAAAACCTCATCTTAAACATTTAATAACACATTAAATTTCATCAGCAGCTGTGACTTGCTAAGTAGCTCCCCACCCACATGACCAACAATGACCTACATAATTTCTTGCAAGTATGTTAACAATACCAACTACTACAAACTGGGCATATAATTCAAATTGAGCTCTTCATTCTGTTACAGTAGTCCCAACTTTTACAACTTAACAACAAAAATATTATGCTCCTGTTTTTATAAGTTTTCTTTACATTTTCATTCCAATAGTCAAGGGGTAGGGTTCACATCCTTACTTACATCTTACATGCAAATTACTACAAGAGTCTACATTTCAATATCCAGTCACTTTTAAGTTTCTATTCCAAGCATTTATCTACACTAAGCTACTTAAGTTTCTGCCCAAATCTTCAGGAAAGAAAATATAAGTCTACCCCTCACACTGAGGAAATACTAATACTAATACCAATAATACTAATAATATTAGCAACCAGTGTTAATAAGAATATATGCCTTCCTATGTATCTTTATAGCCACCTTACAAATAGTAATTCTCTGAACCTTTACAATCCTATGAAGCAAGGACTGGCCTTATCCCTACTTTACAGGTGAGAAAACCAAGGCACAGTTAGTGACCTGTCCCAGATCCTCTAATTAGGGCACAGCACACACAAGTTGTTTGGCTCCTAGGCATTATAAAATTTGGCTTGGATGACCTTGAGTGCCTGTCTAAATACACAATAAAAAAGCTTTCTATGGTTTGTCTTGTCTCCAACATGATAAAACAAAACATCCCGTGGGGAGAGAGATGAATGCATGGACTTCAGATGTTATTCCTCCCAGTCTTACCCGAGTCTCAGCTAGGAATGCTCAGAGCCCTCTACAAGGACAGACCTGGAAGATGATCTGCCTGGATAACGTCTGGTCTGTGTTTAATGGCAGTAACCCACAAAATATGAAATGCAGTATGTGATTTTAAGAATCTTAGACATTTTAAATACTGAAAATATATACTTTTCCCCCAACACATTCTTTCTTAAACCAGTGTTTCCTTCACTAGCAAAGGTGACAGACTTATTCATGTAATTAACAAATCCTTTGATAGGTTAGTTATTAGTCCTCATGTTGAGACACAGTTATCAGCTCAAAAATATAAGTTAAAAACTAAATATTTATCTGGGACACCAAATACATTTTGAGCACAGAAAGAAACTCAGTGATAAGAAGTTATTGAAACATTCAAGTGTGAACCACTGGACACTGGAAGGTGTCCATATGGACTGCTGGCAGCCTGCATCGCTGATGAGAGACTTCCCCTGAAAGGGAAAGGCTTGAGCCAAGTGCAACAGCTAGTCCCTCAAGGATCACAGACAGCACTACTGTGAACAAAGGGCCCTGAAGGGGCTGACTGAAAACAGCCCTGGGGATGGGGGAGATGGCAAAAGGAAAGAAATGCCACCTTCTGCTGCCTCAATGGCTCCACTTATTCAATGCTGGGCATCGACTCTGGTGATGCTACTGACAACAGTTACCAGTCACACTTAAGTGCCCAAATATTGCAGCAATGACTCCTGTGGCTCCAGTTTATGCACTTTTACTGACTGAATTCCTCTCGGCTTTCATCTTCCTAACATGGTGTAGAACAATAAATATATTTGACCATCAATTGATTTTTCAAATAACAGGAACTAAGGGAAACTACGACACCTGGGAATGCTATGGGAAATTTCTTATTCTACCACCCAAACAGGAGGAACAGGAAAGAAAAGAAGGGGAATGGAGAGGAGGAGGGGAGGGATGAGCTCGACCAGGAGCAGAATATAAAGCAGGGGTGTATCAGGTGTGGCAACAGCAGTAGATGCAGAAGCAGCAGCAGCAACAATGACATTTTCCTTTGCAAATTTTCATGAGTGGAATTGCTCATAAACAAATGACAGCTGCTCTCCTCCTTCCTGTGCATATTCTGGTTGGATCGCGACATTAGCACCAAGGGGTGCGAGAGTCGTGTTGCTGATAAGAGGCTTACCATGAGGCTAAGGAAACTGGAGTTGATTCTCTTTGTGTCCCAGGAGCTACAAAACCCCTAATAGATTATACTTCCCACATGCCAGGCAATACAACTCAAAGTGGGCAAAGGCTTATGGGTTTATGACTTAATAGTGCCTGGAAAGTATCCTTCCTCACTCATGGCTGCCATCTCGGTCTGCTATTGTGCCTGATAGTGTGCTCTGCATATAGTTTATGGAGCTCCAGAGATTGTAGAGTTTCTAAAAAGCCACTGTGTGTTACAGGGATTAACAGGCTCCGAGGCCATTGAGGATGGACCCCACCACTTTACTATCTGTTTGGACCCCATCTCCTGTTTCCCTAGTAACTCTAAAAGGGGAAACATCATATGAAAAGATGCAGAGATGCCAGGGCTTTGTTTAGGTCCATTAAGAGGAAGCCATCTTACACCAGCTGTGGTGGTGGTGCACATCTTTAACCCAGCCTTTGGGAGGCAGAGGCTGGCAGATCTCTATGAGATCGAGGCCAGTGGAAATGTGACATTCTGATCTGCTCCAAAGAAAGAACATTATGTACTATTGTATCCTCCCTTAAGGGTTCATCTAGCTGGGTCTGTCAATCAGAGGCCAGGAGACTACTGCTCAGGAAAGCTGACTCACCTGAAGACATGTTAAGAAGATGGGAGAATAATTATCCCCTTAATGAGATAATGTACATATACTATCCAGAAGTCCTTCCCTTGACACAGCTACTTACAGAGCCTCCATCAAGCAGCTCTACTGAGCCTGCCCACTTTCCTGAGATCCTTTGCTTGCTTGCTTTTGCCTTTCCAGATATGGTTCAAAAGGACATGTATACCTTCCCTGATGCTCTGTGCTTTCTAGTTCTTTCTCTGAAGCCTTGCTCTCCCCTTCTACCACGCAGCTGTTTACTGACCTCCACTGTGGAACAGGCTGGTTTTCTCGGGCCCTAACTCAAAAAGGAGTGACTTTCTCCCTTTCTCTTCACCACCTCCTTCCCCCACACAGCTGCCAAGATTCACAGCTTCCTGTCCTGTTGCTTTTCTCTCAAACTCTAATAAAACTGTCCTCAAGCTTCCTTCCAAGACCATTTCTAAAATCTTTTATTATGAGACTAAGAACCCGTGAAAGGAACCCTGATGGCCCCAACAACACATGGCAGGAAGAACACTGATTAGGCTCAGGCAGTGCTCACTGAAGACCTTTCTTTTTTTGCATGTCAGGATACTGAATCAAAATAGTTTTTAAAATATTTTATTGAGTCCTTGAGAATTTTATATAATGTGTTTTGATTATATTTAGACCCTCTTCCCTGTCTCCACCCCATCTTACTACCCCACAAATTTCATGTCTCTATATTTTTTTAAGCCTAGTAAGTCTACTTTGTGTCATGAAATGCTCTGCTCTTGGGTGTGGTCTATGACCTAGAGCTTGGTCAGCCCATCCAGCATCACACCCTTAACAAAAACTGACTCTCCTCCCTAATAGTTCCTCAGCTAAGGCTGGAGCAAGAAACCTCGAAACCTTTTTGAACAAGGAATACAGACTGACAAGAGTGTCAGAGGCACAAAGTTAAGATCTATGATCGCTTAGCTTTCTGGGACATGTAAATACACAAAGATCACTCATCTGGATTAATTAAAGTATAATATTCTATGGATGACAACCTATGAAATAAAGTCTTGTGGTTCTAACTTTAAATAATACTGAATTTTAAAGTAGTCTCTTAAAATGTTACATACTTCTATGTCTTCTGAGGCAGAAAACATAGACCAAAATCTGAATTCCCCTTCATAATCACTGCATAATGCGTCATACTACAAAGATCAGTCAGTTTTCAGTTTCCGTATGATCTGACCAGCACGCCTTTCAAATCATTGCTTCTGTCGCAGTTTCCTAAATGACAGCTTCTAAACAGCTTTTAGTCTACAAAATCAGATAATTAATGTTTACAATTGTGATGGTTGGTCTTCACTGTCAACTTGGTAGGACTTAGAATCGATCTAGGAGACACTTCTGGGTGTATCTGGGAGGGTGTTTACTAACAGAATGACTGAAGGAGGAGAGCAGTAGGCAAGGGGCAGTCTGAGGAGGGGGGGGCACCTGCCTGGCTGCCCTTTTCTTCCTGAATACGTGTGTCTGTGGCTGTTGCTGCCATCCTCTTTTGACGTCAGATCCCAGCTTCTCTGACCTTCTTATATAGATAACACCAGTGGCAGTCCAACAGTTTCCAGGTCTCAGCACTATAGAATGCACAGCTACTGAGTTCTCTGCCTCTCCAGCATACAGGCAACCATTGTGGATGTGAGCCAATCTAATAAGTCCCCTTTCATAATATATCGAATATATAGATGTAATACACACACACACACACACACACACACACACACACACACACACACACACACACACACTTCACTCTCTTCCTCCAGAGAACCCTCCTTAGTATAATCACATGCAAAATTAAACGAATAAATTCTGAGTGACAGTCCAAAGACTTTTTCTATGGTGGCAACAAATATGGATTTTATTTCCTCCATTGACGGAAGCTGTTCTAGTGAATCCAAAATGTTAACTGGCAACTTCTTGGGTCACGTGCTAGTAAGACTTTCCATCTCTATGACAAATACCTGAGAGAAATAGTTTCAAGGAAATTTATTCTGGTTCATGACCTCAGAGGTTTGGTTCTATGGTCACTTGGATGCATCTCTTTGGGCTTCAGTTAAGGCAGAGTATCGTGGCACAGAGGGTGTAGAGGGACAAAGTTACTCACCGTACAGCACGCAAGAAGCAGAGGAAGGACGGTTGGGGACAAGGTGCACCCTTTAAAAGTACACCCCAAAGATCTACTTCCTCCA